AGTGAACAGATGCTCACCAAGTAGTAGGTCAGGAGTACAGGGCGTCTTTGTGAGGTGACGAAATCAAAGTACGTAACGATAGTCCCGCGATACTCACCTAACCCTAAGGCACAGAGATCTGTTAATTTGACGCAAGCGAAACAATTTAGCGAGGCCTCAAATCTTGGCAGCTAAGTTCAATAGCACAAAGCAACGTTGATTGAATCCATGCGTTCTCGTTACCATGTCTCTTTAAGAGAGAAATATGATTTCCCGTCGGAACGAATGAGGTCAAAAGAAGAGAAAAATAGTCAGGAAAGCCACGTTACCGTTTTGAAGTAGTTTATACAATATAACGGGATGTGTGTATTGATTGATAACAAAGAGATCTCACAACCAATGAAAAACAACCAAGCAACCGTATCTCAATTAATAACCAAAATATAATTGTTTAATGAAGTTAAAGGACTCAAAGTCTGCTTAAGGGCATCGGGTCTATCTTTAGAACTAGTAATATGTACCAAATATACAGAACAAAAGAGAAAAATGTCGAAAACACACTAAAAATAAACTCCATTAAAATAATAGACGAAACAATACTTCTAATACATCTGTTTGCGAAGCCATAATAATTTAGTCTCGGTTAGTGGTCTTACCATAACGAACGTTTACGAATACAGCACACCAGACAGCTCAAGCAAAATCACTTTCTAGGACTCTTAATAGTCCCAATCACAAASTCTCTGAGATATCGTGACCACGTTGTAGTAGGCTATTATTGACAGATAATAGTCGCCTTTGATTGACTTTCAAAAACATTCATATATCTCTACAGGGGCTGGACTCCCAGTGTGCAATTCTATTCATTGTGATACGCTTTCTATAAAAAGATTGCCTTATAAAAGTAAGCCATGTGCTCGAGTTTAGCGAATTATCTCAAACACTTCCTATRGCTCTTGACAACATTACAGCACTAACCCTACTCGTTTTCCTTGAAGCAACCGTGCACTTCTCCCAAACGGCCCTTCACTATAGTTAATCAGAACTTAATGACATGTTCCACCAAAGTCAGTTTTGACAAAGAATCGATTATTAGATTTCTTAATTGCATTAATTTCATGATAAAGCATTTTTTCTATAGATTCGTTATATGTTATTTAAGAGATCTATGACTGGATAAGCTAATAGCATGAGTGAACAGAGACACTATGCTATCAAAATATATCATCGAGATCTGACCTGATATAGCGCGGTCCGTCCGCGATTTCGTAAACACGAGATTTAAAACAGTATGGACCATTGAGCACATTGTGAATTCAGTGGAAAAATAGCCAATATTTTACAAGTGTCTTCGCCTGGAAGTTGCAGCTTTGAAAGTTGCTAATTGTTTTATTGTCTTTAACCCTTCTTTCAAGAAATACTGTAGTATCAGTTTTAGTTGAAAATAAGTAAGCATATCTAATTGTAGGATGCTTTTATGTGCAGTTATTCGTGCTACTCACTATAAGCTACGTTCGTTGTTAATCTTACCACCCCATCTTCTAGATAAGACAACTGTTTTAGGCAGAGGATCATAGTTTATATTGATAGCTTGCACGTATACAATACCCTAGGGCTTGGCAATTTACCAATTGAATGAAAGATAGAAATGAAGAAAGGAAACAAAATTAGTGAAGAACCACCTTAARCAACCACCGGCCCACCCTCGATGATGTGGAGTCGACTAGACAGTTTACCCAGTATCCTTAGCTTAAAATACTGCACATAGCTATACATCCTTACAAGATATCTCATTCTAGATATCTCATGTTCTATGTTTCTTACTCTATGAAGTACCTTATCATTTCAGAGTTATTAATACACTGTATTCCCAACACGGGATCTCAGGTTTGCATTGCACCCCACCTTACTGGCTTCGTATATGATCAACCACAAACTTTTATAAAAGCGACTCTTAAGTTCCACTTGGCTTTATCAGAAAAGGATGCTCGTTTTAGCGGCACATTTAAAAGTTTATCAAAGGTCCAAGYCAAACATTCAAAACTAGTTAAGTTAAACTGAACAAAATTGACGTTACTGCATATACGAACCTTTCAATGGACCAATTATATTGTAATTTAATGGTCAAGACAAAATTAATTACTTTGATTGAACTTAAATGTTTTTATGTTGGTTAAAAACCATTTCATTTGAAAATTAAAAAAAAAAACTCATTGTTAGACTTAGCTGTTTTTTATGAAACCAATTTCAGAGGTTATTCTAATCACWTACACAGCGGACTTTGAATTGAATGGTTGCGATAAGATTCATATTTTGTTTYGGGAATAAACCCCGATATCTCATCATCTTATTCAACCAGACCTCGAACCACGCCTCTTTTGCAAAAACAATGTCAAGAATCTACCACTAAATGATTCTATAGTCCACAATCAAATTCATATGTAGTCGATTCAGACTTCCTGAGTAATTTATCGCTGTTTAACATTACTGGGCCGTATGTTTGAAGAGTGGGAATACCGCATGTGAAATAAAAACTTCCCTGCATTTCTGAGCCTACTTAACTCTAAYACTTAACATTATTGTAGCCCGAGGGGTTTTGCAAGCAATGCGTGTTCTTAGGCACCGTAGAAGTACTTGCAAATTCAACTATGTGGCGACACCGCTGATCATATCACGACAATTTAGAATATATCTTTCGACCACGCCAAGAGTCAGTGTAAATTTCCCACCCTAGTGATTGACAAGAAACTGAGGAATGTGAAAAAAATGGCGGTAAAAACGAAAATCGAAMGRCAATTCAGTGCTAATTTTAAGTTATTGTGCTTAAAAAAAGTGGAAAGWGTTTCCGTTGRCCGGCGCTTGAGTTCAGTCCAAAAATATCAGAAATGAATCTCTTACTTTGGGAATGAATTACTATTGATGGAAATATTCCTTCGTCCGCTGCGGAGAAACACAGACAAACTCTGTAATTCCATTGTGGTGCATTGCATTGTGTCTATTTGGCTATCACACTTTAAGAGTCAAACTTTGTTTCACGGGTTTAWTGAATTCACTATAACTATTGAAGCGCGATAGAGTTAAGTCGTTAAACCCGTGAAACAGTTTTTGRCAATTAAAGTTTGATAGTCAAATAGACACAAAAGAAAACCATGCAATAAATAGCGTATTAAGGTGTATCAGTTTAGTATCTATTTCATGGGTTTTTGGACTAAACTCCAGCGCTGTTCGTYCTTTGTATAACTGACCCCTGCTGTCCAATTATCTGAATGGCTGAATTATATGATACTTGAATAAGTGAATAACGCAGATTAAATTCGGCAAACATGACCTTTTCTAGTATTCAAAAATAGCCGACATGACATGCAACTATTGATTGATATAACATTAAAACCAGTATTTTCAACATTATATGACTTATTCTGAAACAACTAAATCAGAACTCTTCACAAAAAGTAGTTCTTCACTTCAGCGCGAAGTCTGCGAAGTTTAAGACTGAAAACTATTGTAAAACATGTCATCTCTTGACAGAATAAAACTTTGAATGTACTTGAACCTTTACTGACCTTGTTGTGATGTTGCAGAGTTCTGTTTCTCCTCGCTCTTGTATAGGTTTATAAATAAATACGTGAATAAATAAATAAATACTAGGCAACGAAGAACACTTGTATTGCTGTCTTTCACATGTCCAAACTACTGTCACAATAATGCTGTCGACCATTATTTATAAGTGGGAGGCCGACGTTACGACGTGCGTAGGATAGAAACCACACCAGTCGTGATCGGCCACATCATTCATCCATTCCWATGACTAAACTACCCCTATTTACTTATAGAGGCGGCAAAATAAGCCGACAATTCATCACGAGCGACTATAATCATTTTCATTATAAATTCAAAGTCTGACTTTTAGTTTAATTTTTAAAGCGGTAAAAAACATTCCCTAGTGAACTTATTAGGTGGTTAAAAGTAGGATACATTTAGCTTAACAAGTGCAAAAGGTGACTATCGATGTCATTCCTCCACGTAATGTGTCACGGACATTGCAAGTACCACCACGCCTTTTCCCCGTTTAACACAACTTGTTCTTTTMAATAAACCAAGACGTTAGAGGTGTTTTATGGGTCATGTACCACATCCTTGTAGCCCTGGTAATAACWTTTTGCAAAGTTCCAAAACAAGTAAAAATAAGGCTCCGATATTTTTTTATTTACTTCGGCATTGCTCCCGGCTCGGAAGCACTTGTCACATAAAAAAGATGTTTTTGAGCAAAACCACATATCCTTAGAATAACTGCTCTTTGTCTAAGAGTAAATATTATGCTATCAACTTGCATTAGTTGATCGTAGGATCGTGATGGTTTGAATTTCCGATGAGTTTTCTCTTTCAGACACGAYAGTTTTTGTCGTCTCGGTGGTTTCCGAGTAGTGGCCGAGTTGGTATCCGGCGAGAGTTCGTACCCGATGACATCACCATGGGGTATTTTTAAGATGAAGGAGTTTTACATCAGCGTGGATTCTGGGAAAGGCATCCTGGTTCGCCTGGCCAGACAGAATTATAGACAATTACAGTAATACTTGACAATTTAACACATGGGGAGCAGCATTAACCACAGTAGGTTGGGTATTACAAGAGATAGTTCTGTTTATAATGAGTGGGAAAAGGTGTTGATGGGTCTGTGCGTGGGTGATGTTACAAAGCAAATGTCTTTACCCACAAAAATACTGAAAAACAACCAAACACTTATACCTTYAGCGAGTGCGAAAGCAATTATAACGTAACTCAACTCTTTTGTCAATATTTACCGGTCATCATGGCACWATATCAATGACCAATTGAGCTGTGTATTGAAAAACAACTATCAAGGGACCGGCGCTTTGTATTGATGACATCTATCACTTACAATGTAGTCAAGTTCAAACCTTTTAAAAGACCTTTAGAGCCTTAGGAACTACAACGAGTTCCGCGTATATTATCTCTTCAGGAGAAGAAGCTATCCTAAAGCTTAGCAGACTTTAATGAATATGAACTCAAAATAACACTTTATATTARCCGAAAAATGAAAAATATAGAGCTAAATCATTGTAATATCTAGTCTTAATTTCCTTCTTATCCCATATCTTAGTTTAAGTCCGTTTAAGCCTGTCTAGAACTCCCCAATGATGCGGATAATCCTGCTAGGTGTGGTAGTTTCACTAGTCTGTTCTTAGGAAAGCCATCAAACCSAAACTATATCACTATTACGATCAAAACACGGGYGCGGCTTAAAAATGTCGTAACGTCAAATGAAATGATGTAACAAGATTTGCGTGGTGGAACTGATAATTGGTAAGGTATATCATCAAATGAAATAAACTACATAGACTAAGGTTTGGTCTTGAAAAGACTCTTGGTCGAGACAGAATTTTGACCGCCATTGATAATGAAATCTAGTAAAAGAAGATTGCTTTGGTATGTCGGTGGTCATGCATCATTATCATCATCATCTATATGGCGACCCTCACGCCCAGGGAACACTACATTACTTAGGACTGAATGTAATGTTGAAAAACACAATTACTTTTGGACATTTACAATTTACTGCTATCCCACAAACCACTTCGGTCTCATTTTCTAGAATCCATAACAAACGATAGCCTAATAACTCTTGAAATGTGACAAAAACCGAAAAAGTCAAAATAGCTAAATCATTAGTTCTTGGTTGGAGAAGAGAGAATCAGGTTGCCATGGTTAAGGCTCGTACTTAGTGCTTCTACTGAAGAGACATTTCAGGAGATATAGAAGAAATATACTGATTTTATATTTGTTGTTAAAGAATTGACAGCTAAAGATGCGAATATATCTGAAAAACATGGAAAGCCGAAACGTTAAAACAAGCGGGAGCTACAAATAAATACAATGCTTGGAAAAATATGAAAGAAAAGTAAATGTTTGCAAATATTGTGACGCTGAACATTCCCACAATCCTTTGCGGCCCTGAKATAGCGGTTAGTTCAGTGTTACAACATTTTGTACTCGGTGGGTGAATGTACTAGCGAAGTAAGCGAACCAAGATCAATACACACCGCTGYCGTCGATGTTATTCTTTACGACTAGTTTATTTATGTCTTAACGGTCTACCAAGCGAATCTTTTGTTAGTAATTGGCATCGTTTCAAAACAACCTGAAAAGAAGTACAATCTCTTTGTCACAGCTACTGATTTGTTTTGTTTTATATTTTGCTTTTTGTTCCAACCAGTGAAAATCGCGAACTAAGAAGTTGAACATTCTTGTTGGAAGCGTATATTATATCTTTTCAGTGATGCTAGATTTAATTTATATCCTGTCCGCACGTGGACGCATTTACAGTTTTGCAAACAATCATATTGCAAATAAAACGGTTTGTGCACACATATTTTATTGAATCTGCGTAAAGGAGAAATYATAGTTATATCTGTAAATTGCTCATTGGTTCCGAGCTGTAACTGCTGCCTGTTACCAATTGACGGTTGAATTATTATCTTTTATARCAAATAATTATGATAGTTTATTTATAAAGTCGATAATTGTTCTGCTTGGTCGTGGGAAACTAAACWTGACTCGGAACATCTTTCTTATTGTGATCAATGGAACCGGAAATTTCGCCCAGTTAATTGTACTATTCGCCTGTACGGAATGCAATTAATTTTACGCTCGTACAGGTACGATGATAAGAATCATCATTTAACTCGCTTTATGATTATTTCTAAGATTAGATTTTCATCTTTATAAAGAAGTCATTTTGTGTGGATCAATCATAAGCCTKTGTAAGAGGACCTTTGTACCTTAGTACAGCCACTCAATTGACGTTGAYAATATTGGGAAAGATTGGTCAGACTCTGTAGAACTATCGATACACTGTCATATACTGCCTTTTATGAACTGTCAGTGAAACTTTAAGGTGATATCAGAGTTTTTTGTGCATACATTTTATCATATATCTTTTTCGGCAAGGCATTCGCAATTTTTATCAGTGTCAGATCAATTTATCAACTCAGTTTTTATTCAATTTGTTACCTCAACAAATCATTTAGCTCGTATTTTATCACTTACTATTTGAGTGTCAATAAACTACCATAAAGGCAAGTGCAACTATAAACATAGTTTCCGTATTTACTATAGGAATGGCGGTTAACCACTTCTAGAAAAAAAAGAAGCAAGTACGATATGAATAGATAAAGCTTAGACTAGGATTATGGTGTTAACGTGAGCCACGCGTGAAAACTGTAATCTTGTGTCACAGCAAAAATTCAGCTTAAGCTGAACTTTATGATAATAAACTTTAACATGTAGGCAGAAAATGACGGCAGAATTGTGTTCGTAAACTAAATTGTTTTGGAGATAAAGGTGTAGTTTCAAAGGTTAGTGACCATGGCTGAACACTTCGAGCATTAATTTACTTTTCACCTAGTTAATTAACTTTGATTTGTCTATATCCTCGGGGCTTATAATTTGTTTGACCTAAAATAGTAATTTTTCCATRTATATTAATATGATATCCGTTAGATAAAAGATATCCTTCCGGGATGAAGTTTTGGTAATGAAAATTTATCTAGGAATGTTCAACTTACTGAAAAACACTCTACTCAAACAGAATGTGCTCGAAAATTCTCTATCATTCCATACTCGATTTACTATTTGATACTAAAGTCTAAAGTCACTAGTAGTATATCKCAGTCATAGCTCATCATCGACACATTAATTAGAGAAATCTCTTTATCACGAGATACTAAAGTACAAACTGAACTGTATTGCTTTAAAAGCGCGTCGTCAGGAAATCCGATTGAAGATTATTGACATACACATCTAAAAATACGTAAAACACTTTTCCTGAACTACTAACAAACTTCTTACTTACGATTTCGCACAATCTATAGTCAAAGTAAGGCCGTTTTTGGYCACTTACCCTTCGCGTGAGTTCAATGTTCTCCAGATAATCGACCTGCGCAATTGAAGGCAGAAAGAAGGCGAACTTTTTCACACGATGCAGGCTTTGAGCTAGAGCTTTGGAGAGATTAAACRCAGCGTRAATAAGCCTTCCTCACAAAACAGTCCATGTGGCATACTTTGCTTCCAAATATAAACGAAAACGCGATGTTTTTCACCAGGGATTGAATGTATTTGAGCGACTGGYMGTGCGAACTTCATGAACGTGTCTGAAAAGTCATGGAGCGTTGATGCTGTCGTCTTTGCGTCAGTGCGCGGCACGTATCTTCAGTTTCAAACACAAAAACAACCTTGAGGACCTTTGTTTATAGTAAATTGCTTGTTGATAAAACCATTTACGACTCGATACCAATAGAACAACTAGTGCATCCCAAAAACATTAMGTTTAGTAAACGACTTGGTTGAAGTTTGTTGTGCTTCATAAACAGTTTGCCACTATAATCATTATTCCTGACCTATTAAATACTGTGTTCTAATGAAGTGATGTATAGTTGTGTAGAGGGGAGGCTGTCAAGAGTGGGAGGGCAAATAATTAGCCTGACTTGTATTTTAACGATTRAGTAGGTCACCAATCATCTAAATACATACAGATGAGTGCAGRGCAAACCCTGATAGAAGCTACAAAAAGAACGCCGAAGAACAAATAYAATCATTAAGAAGACCATTTGACCCCAAATTAGAATCAATCAATGATATTTTTAACATTTTGTTTCCCAAAAAAGAGATWTTTAGCTTTTTCAGGKCAATTTTCTCCAAAAAAGGAAAGGCGWMGWACAGGTTCCGGAARGTTCAAATCACCGTTTTGACTCGGTGCACCGAGTAGATATAGTTTGAGGTTATTTTGGACGAATTTTTTCGAGAGGTCTTTACAAACCCTGTACARTGAACAATGAAATTAAAGACGTTTAAAGTGAATATGGACTTTGAAGATAAAGTTGGTCAAACGCACCTATTTTAAGATAAGTATCGACTATTGGATTACGTCGGTACGGGTGCCTTCCTTACTCAGCCTTCTACTCACTACACTCAGTTTCACTGAATCTTAAGATTTAGAGATATGATCTACAGAAACAGAAAATTGGCGAGGCAGTTTTAAGGTAATTCATAACCAAGAATACCATACGAAAACAAACTGTTGTTCAAATACTGCGTGAGCGATTATACRAGTTCAAGTGACTTTCGACCATAATTTTCAAGGAACTTTTCTCTATCATATAAGATAATCGCTCTATAGTGGATTAAARCAGTCTAATCAGACTTATTATACAAAGCTTGGATGAGAAAAGGAAAGGCTTATATCTGACGCAGTTCGGTCTTGATGGAAGGAATCTTTGCTATCTCAGTGTCCCATTTTCACCTGACACTCTTGTATCTACCCTAAAGAACAKTGGTGCCAATACCAGGGGCAAAGCTGGCAGAAACGTGGCTTAATGATTATAACTCCTCTGTGGGAATTGGCTRCCTTTTACTTTRYGTCTGGCGCATAGGGTTAGTTGGCATTAAAGTTCAAATTTGTCTAACTTCTCAACTTCCGGTACTGTGCAAACATATATCATTATAAAACTACATTTTTCTGTCTATTTTGGATATAAAATGGAACACACCGACACTCACTTCATTCAATGATGCTAGAAATCCAAGTTAAATACATATGTGACGATTCARCTATGCAATTCATACTGTTTCTGAACAGAGAATGCAGGAAATCACTCATTTTTTTCAGCTGGGCCCGTCTGATATGCTAGCACTACGAGACATTCTAACAGCGAACAAGCGCTCTTTGTTTCAAGTAAACAAACTAGATATCATATCACTGGAGTAAATCTTCCCTGGTATTGTTCAGTTTCGAAGTCTTAGCTCAAGGTTCCAAATTTCATTGTTTYATAGTTTATGTAAGTATGGTGCCACGAATTCTMGCTAGATTACTCTACCCCAGACCCCTTGTCATRGAATGGCTGCCATTCCAGACTTTTTTTATTTGTAAACATGAAAAGCAGTAATGAATGACAAATGTCCTAGTTAGATGCATACACTATAGATAAGTAAACATTGTAACACATATCTACACATATCTATTGCAACACGATAGATATATAAGTAATTGAAGCTGCGCCAGTCAAAATAGTTCATTTATTTTTTTTCTCCCGTTTTATCTTTGATTTCTCAGTGTTTAAGTTAATGCAGGACTAGTATAGGTTTTCTACATGGAAATCTTTTGGTCATGAATTCTAGCTTCTGCAGTAAATAAATGATCTCTAAACTCAGAACTGATTCACTCATCAAGAGGACTATTTTTTTTCCTGAATTTTGATTGCCTGGATTTATCCCCGACTTTCAGTTCCCACTGCAATAATTGTGATTCCATCAGTAATATATTCGATATGATCTGAATGCAGCACTCTACTGAATTCGTATCGTAGAAAAAAACTAGACATAAAACAAGACGATGGATTCTAGAGAAAATAAATCACGTTTGTAGTTTACATATGTCTGAATCGTTTGTGATTTTGACTCATGGAAATATTGAGCATTCTTTTTGATATTCGTGATTCACATTACAGTAACTCTAAAATAACTGTAAATTAAGCTTAACGCTTTATCCAAATGTGGTTAACCATCAACTAATAAGTCTAATAAACTAAATCCTTGAGGGGATAGTGTGGGGGGGTTGTGGTCGAGCTGTTGTGAATACACATAGAGTACCGGATCTTGAAGACAATTAACAAATTCACATATTGGTATAAAATCTGATAAAGTGGTTTTATTTAGATATATTTTGAGCTTAAGGAAACGTTTTAGATATATTGTCTGAAGGGCGACTCAACACCAAGGGGTGTGAATTACTTAAGGGTAGAGTCGGTGGGAAAACAAAGATGGAAATAAGCATTGGAAATAGGTGTTATGCAACGAAAAGGAAAATATGCCTCTACAAAAAAATACAATTATTTTACTTTGAACTTTGTTGTTTTTTGTGGAAAGTTGAACTTAATCAACTCGAAAAAGATATATTTAGTCTTGTTATTGTATGTTGAATGTTACGAAAACCAACTCTTTCTGAAGTACATTTTGTAAACATATAAATAGTGCAAACCAAAATGCATGTAAATGTTTTCACTTTTCATAGGAGACACGTGAACTTTGTGTGGTTAAAATTAAAGATTTTTTTGATCAACATTCAATTCAATACCAGTGTGACTAAAATTCCTGAGGTTAAAATAGAAATGGATGAAATATTCTTGATATAAAGTTACATACATATAGCGTGTTCTTCTAATAATGTCGTGCAAGATAAACGAACTTTTGTCAATAGAGCGTTAATCCCCTTAGTAAGGTCTTCAATCAGACATATCCTTTCAAATATTTAGTTGAGGTTGATAGTGATTGGGCGATGAAACGTCCAGTTCTTTACGACTCACCGAATCCTATCAAAGGATTCATAACAAGTGTTCAAGGTATCGAAAACATGAGAAGGGAGATTTTGCTTTCTCGAAGTTTGCTCTGCTAGAATTATGCATCTACAAAACGTTACTAAAAAAATCCATTAAATGGCACAAAATTCAGCATAGCTCAACTGCAAGAAATCTTTTAAAATTAAAATAATAAAACTCAAATTAACTGACCTTATCTTGTCTTGCTCGTGGGCGAAGCAGAGCCCAAAGTGTTTCGCCAGTGATTCCTGCTATTGAAGACGCCGAGACACAGTGATCTGCGAGACTGAATGCCAAGAAAAACAGCTTTGACCGAACGCAATCCCTGTTTATCGAGCACTTGGCCAGTACTTATACCTCATTACGGACATGAGCGAAGAAAGCTAAACCAGCATGAATTTCTAATCAGTATTTTACWGTGACAAGTCGGAAAAAAATAATGGCACGTTTTAAGACTCACCTCACTTTGAACGATTTCGACTAGAATACAATACTGACCCAAGCATTGGTTGACGTTGTTCTAGCACAGCAGCTGACCGGCCCGTTCAACCTCTCTTAAGTCAAGTTTGCCACAAATCCCGCTGGGCGGGAATTTAGTTTGCTCACTCAAATGAAGTACCGCTCAAGTTTGGAATTCGTGATGTGTACAAAGTGACAATTGAAGAAACAGCATGGCGCCAACGTGAAATGCAAATCCATGTTTTTTGGAATAAGACGTGAAAGCTTCGACAGTTCAAATCGCATCAAACTGGTTCAAACCACACGCGAAGCWTGCGGCGTTGTTCATGTTGCGAGAGAAGAAATGAAAAWATTCWATCGTCAAAGAAAGTCAAATTGCCACCGCTGTCGGCTCAAAACTGTAATGTGAGGGTTCTATTATTCTTTTAATTGTTCTTATTAAGCAAAGTAAAACAACATAAAAAAAAMWYTTWTATWT